CTCTTTTCAGTTATTACTGCATGTATATGCACCTGTCATTCAATTCTCTAAATATTTAAAATTGAAGGAGAAATTGTGAGAAATTCTAGGACAAAATGACATTGTGAATTTTAAGCCCTCTGAAGACTTAGTGAATATTGACCAAGAACAAAACTTAGTAAAGTTATATTTTCATAGTATGAGGAGCATCACTAAATTAGACCTCAGTAACCATGTCCACATGTGCATTTATACTGGCTTAAATTTACTGTGTAGTAAGTTACTGCACAATAAGCAGGAATAGGCCAGCATCTACATGTGCAGATGTTAAAGTGCATTAACGCTGTGTGTGGACTGATTTAGGACTAAAGTTACTCCAAAGTCAGTCCACACACACAGTATTACTGTGCAGTAAGGTGTCTACATGTGTGTTACTATGCAGTAAGTAATGGGCCATAAATTTTATACCTTCACAACACAGGTATCAAATTTACATTCAAGTCGGCATAAGTCACCATATTTACTGCACAGTACAGACATGCATGTATAGAGTAGACACATACCCGTACTGAGCAGTAAATTTGGTTACTGAGCAGTGAGCAGTAACTGTGCACATGCAGACATGTCCCATGCTTATCAGGGGTTAAAGTATCCTCATTTATACCCTTCTGTTTTCTACATACATTTAATACTAAATTGTATTTAACAGAAAAATGAAATTACCAGTGCATACATTTACAATGAAATATCTCTTTGGCTGAATATTTTTATAAATGTATTGTAACAAAATACAATATTAAATCTGCTTGGAAATTGTTCTAAATATATGTGCCCAAGGTAAAAATATAACCAAGCCAAGCAATAAACAAAGAATTTACTGAAACAAACCACATGAAGATAACCAAAGTTCTAAGCTACTGATATAATAACAAATTGTCCATAACTAGATGGCCAAATACAAAAAAAGGAAATAAACATATATCTGTAAAGTCTGACATTCAAAATGTATTATGTGCAGTAAAAAGTATGTGAAAGAATAACAAAATTATAATCCAAAATCCTTTGAAAAAGTAGAAACACACAACACTTGAAAAAAGAAAGAAGGAAAAAACATGTTATAGTATATACAAAGTCAGAACGACAGCTCCAACTGAAGATTGGGTATCAGGGGGATTCTGTATTTCTTTCAGCAGAGACAGTAGAAGAAGGAACCTCATTAGCATTTAGAAGAAAACTCTGTGACCTTGGCATACCGAGAATACATTTCTACTTATGGAAAGGAATAACATTCCATTTTCATAAAATTATGAAACAATTAGGATTTTTTGACCTAGAGTAATATTGATGGCTAGCTAAGATTGTACTTAGGAAATGAAAGCAAATTATTACAGATTTAACATGAAAAAGAGCAACAAGAGCAATTCAATAATGTGAGGCTGGAAGTTAACTTTTTGTCTATGGCAGAGACTCTGTGTCATGTATATTACACCATTCCGAAGAGGTAATTGCATACATAGGTAATGTATAGGAGTTGTCTCAAAAATCTCTACACTTATCACAAGAACACATTTTAAAAATTAATATCCCAGATTTTCATACAAGCAAGTTTTCTCGCAGTCAATTTTCTGTGCTAATACACTTCAATACTATAATATTACTTTTGCAACTGTGCTATTATAATAATTTCTACTATCAGATTCATGTAGCAAAAGTACCATCTGGGCTAGACCCATGGGGTAAAAGTTTATTATTTTAATAGGAATTACATATCTAATTTTCTATATGCTGTGCTGGGAGTTTACTACGTGGAGTGACTGTGTAAAGGAGTGCAAGAATTAAAAGAAAAATGATGACTGAAATGAATGGTCTCCTTTGAAAATATTTCTTTTCAAATAAAAAACATTTCTTATCCCTAAAGATTTTTCTAATCATACAAGAGAAGTAAAATAAATATGTAAACAAGATTGCCTGTAATTTTAAGGGCTATTAAGCTGTATATTATTGAGAGTATGGTTGCCTTGCTCTCAGATTTGTAAGGTAATCTAAATAAAACTAGGCATAGAAAAAACAAAGATCTCCTCTGTGTCCAAGACCCTTGCTGATCTTAAAAGCTAAGTACAGACAGTCAAAAAGCCCGAGGCACAATGGATTCAGTCTGCACAGCTTTCTTTAAGCTGTGCAGTTTGGACTGTTAATGAACAGAATACACGTTCATTCATCAGTTGGCCAAACTGGCGGCTAGCTCCGCTGGCCAGGGCCAGAAGGCTGGGGATGCTTTGTGCACAACTTCCAGCTCCATTGGGCTGCAAATGCGTCATCCCAGCCTCTTCATCAGCCCCAGCACCAAGCTGCAGGTAGGGTGGGCAGGGAGAACACCCCCCCCGGCTCCTCCCAGCCAGGGTCTGCACAATGGTGGGGGGTGGGGGAGGGAAGCTACCAAGGTGGGAGGTTTTCCCCCATGCAGCTCTGCCAAATTGTAAATGCCACAGCCCTGCCCCCCCTCCCCACCATGCTGACCCTGGGTGGGGAGAGCTGGGGTGAGGGTGCATTTGCCCCCTCTTCTGCCCCCATGTCACCATCAGGGGGGCTGGGCAGACTGTTTCAGCTCTGGGACAGCCAGGGGCAGGGCCACCCAGCTTGACAGGAGCAGCCAAGCTTGGGAGGAGCCAAGCCTGACTTTTGGGTAGGGGGCAGTTGGGGGGGGGGTTGCCATGCATCCTGGGATGCCAGGAAACTGAAGCCTAACTTGTGTCTGGAGGGGATATGGGCAGAAGTTCAATGACTGGTTTAACCTAAATAGTTAACTTTGATACTACATCCATTCAGGTCTATCCTAAACCAGTTTCTGCCATTTTGAAACCTCTCTATATGTACTGAACTGTTGTTCTGTTACAGGTTTAAACTGGTTTCTGATCACTTATACCAGTTTGTATGTAATGTCTGCCCCTAGCTCAACACACTGGATGGAACAAAGCAGGTTCAAACATAGAAAGAAAGAAGAGGCAAAGAAATAAAGACTAAACTCAGGGAGGTCAGCCAAAGAAATAAGCAGAACACTGAATGTTACCCCGGGAGTCACAGCAGAGCTCTGTGTTGCAAGATATGTGAAGATGTTAGGATGTCCTCTTTATCCCAGGGTCATTTTTGAAGCACTTGGCCATTTTTAAGGCAGTTCAGTGGTGAATTTCTGCACCCATACCATGGCAGCACTTCAGAGGCATCTGGAATACTTCAGATGGCATGTCTATTCATGGCCCAAGTGTGAGTTCAGCCAGTCAACCCCAACAGACAAAATGGCTATATATAGAAAGGACATGCATCTACATGAGATGTTTACTGGGAATTGACTAACTAGCTCTGCAGTAAACATCTCACATCTACACATGCAGTGCTATTAGGCAGTGCTATAAACTATGTAGCAAGATAGTATTTGTATTTACAAGTTTTTTACTTCTAAGTACTGTAGATGTAGACACTGATGTGGCTGGCTTGGTCATGAGTGCTTCAGTTCAGGGGCTGTCTGCCAGCTAGCCCTGCATGGAAGCACCCTCCTGCCCCAGCCAGCCCCTCTGCAGCATGTTGAGCTGGGTCAGGGCAGCCCCAGGTTGGCAGGCTGATGGTCCGGAACCCAACCTGGGCAGTCAGCCTGCCTGCTCCAACCCAACTCAGTGTGCTGCACTTCCAGGCACACATGTAAACGCAGCACCTGGGAAGCAGTAAACTCCGGCTTATCACACGGGAGTTTATTGCTTCAGCTTAATTGCACGTATAGATGTGCTCAGGCAGTGTTTGGCTTAGTCTTGAACTGAGTAACTGTTCACCAATATGAGTAAAGAATCCAAAATTTGGTTCTAAATTAATAAGTAAAGGAACTAGGCAGGGCCTGACCTATTCAAGCAGCTCTCATTAAGTGTTACAGCATGTATTTACTAAATAGGTTGCAGTACAGCCTGAAGTCTAGAACTGCTTGGATTTTTTTTGGCAAAACAATTTAACTGAAAAACTGAAACTGCTTCTGAAAATATGACAGTTCAAAAATTTTCAGGGACAAGGTTCTCTCAGATCCACTAAAGAATTTCTGCTCAAAATGAAAGAGAGGCAAGCACACAGAGAGGTCTACAGCACATCCTAGAGTACCCAATATCCTGATGGTCAGGGAATCCCCTTAGAAGCTTGTACTCTGTCTGGCACAAAGGCTGTTTAATAGTGTATATAAAAATGAACAGCTCCAACAGGAGAGAGAGAGGGAGAGAGAGATGAATTCTATGCCCAGGTGATCATGACCCTTATCTGAGACATGGGAAAATATGAATATATAAATAATATTAACTGATTCGGACAGTGTGGAATACATCCAGCAGGAGAAATTGAAAAGCCCCATCTCAGAATCATCAACAGCATGGTTGGGCCCACACTCCTTTCTGATAAGAGAGTCCTGGGTTCAAGGTTCAGATCCAAATCAAGCAGAGCAGGATGATACGAATCCACATCTCCCCCATCCAAAGTGATTGCTCTTTCCACCAGGCTATTGGCCACTTTGAAGTGGGAGTAGGTCTCTAACATTTTTAATCACAAAACCATGAAAGACTTCAGTCTAGGCCCATCAACTGGCCTAATTACCTAGCCTAATTTCTTGAACAGCAACTTTTTCCAAAATTTTAAAAATATTTATGACAAGACTCCTTGCTCAGCTTTACTGATGGCATTGTACAAACACATGGAGACAACCCTCCAGAAACATAACAAAGCTGGGACTATAAGCTTTTCTGTTCAACTCAGACCAACAATCTCTCTATTTAGCTACTAAAATTATTTTTTATTCAGATTGCACCATGACTAAGGCCTAATACAAATACCATTATTGTTATTCCATTTCTTTCCACTGTCCTTTATGGCTGCTAGAATATCAGAAAAATATAAAAAGAAACCCAGAAACACACATTTCCTCTCTAATTATATCTTAACCTATGTTAATGCAATTGAAATTAACACTGGTAATTAAGATTGTCATATTAACATACCCAGGCACTGACACATCTGCCGCAGGTGGTGATTTTGAAATCCCCATAGAGATCCTTGATGGCACCAGTCGTAAAGAATCCCTCCACCATCAGCAAAATTCCATATACAAAGAATGCAGCTGCTATACCGTAGATCACATATTTGAAGATGTCAATCCTGTGCAGGAAGAAAGGTATTTATTTTAATAACTGTTTAATGCTGACTCAGAAATGTAAGTGTTTGATCATGAAACACCCTTGTATCAGCTTACCTCAGATAGAAACTCTTTAGTTATGGTGTTCTCTAACAGTAACTGCATTTAAGGACACTACTTATTTGTCATGTGTCTGACACCTGAATGTTGACTATGCAAAAAATATGGGTTCTTTTTACTTAAAGCTATTTATAAATTGTTTGGAATCCATAACAAAGCACAATTTAATGCAAGTAATTTAGAATGGCATCCTCATTTGATTTTATTACTGTGTATCTGTTAAAACAATACAAATACTGAAAACATTTTAATTAGTAAAAGCAATTCAAAACAGGATTCTATAATATTTTCTTATCTAAAAAAACACACTTTTCAATCATGTATTAAAAAGAAAGAAGTTATGAAAAAAGAGGTTCCTTCACAACCTTCAGTAAATTATTCATTGCTGTACAGTTAGTTACATTTAGTTCTCACATGGCAATGTTAACCTCTGTTATCATTTCTCATTATCTACAATGGGCAAAGTGCCTGGAGACACAGACTGAAAAAGGGACCCCTAGCCATCATTTTGAACTTGGCCCTCAGTACTGTTACTCATACTCAGCAAAACAGTTATAAATCCATATAACACTTTTTCATTTCAAAACTCTCCAAAAACTATTGGCATAATCCTATTGACTCATGCTAGGATTACTAATTATCTGTGTTACAACAGAGTTGAAAACCCCCTGCTGATAAAATATATTGATAGTGATGGAAACTGTGGGAAACAGAGACCATTTTACCCTAAAGAGTCAGCAGTCTAATTTTTGACACGGCACAGAAAGCACTTCAAAGATATTTCATGTATGAATAAAATAATAAGACTATCTAAAACTAGACATATGGTTTTGTCTAACAGAGTTTTCTTCTAAGTGGGGGTGTTAAGCCACCTTTTCACTTTCCCAAACCTTGACAGATCTGAGTACTTGAAGGGTTGCCAGCACAGCATACATAGCCTTGGATGGTTTAAATTATAGGAGATCCTCCAGGCTGCATTCTAGCCCCCAGCTGGGGTGGATCCAGTGGTGGGGCAGTGGCACAGTCACACTCCCCTTTCAGATGACACCATGGGAGCAGAAGCCAGGAACTTTTTTTAAGGCCCTGTACCAGGTAAAAAATCCCCTTCCCTCTCCCTTCTCCCTTCCCTTTCCCTTCCCCACTATGTTCAGCAGCACATCCCCTCCTATACTCCCCTCCCCACCCACTGCTGCTGCCACAGGCTGACCCTTGTGTAAGGGATGCTCCAGAGTTGCTCCTGCCCCATGTTCAAGCCAGGCTGCATGGGAGCCAGTCTCAGGCTGGGACAACAGCAGCAGGAGGCTGCTCTCTGCCACTCCCCCAAAGTGTACTCACCAGCCCAGAAAGCAGGCTCAGGGTGGGGGAACCTTTCTGATACCACTACTGATGCTGTCCCTAACCAACCCCAGCTCCCCACACAGCCCCTGCATAGCCCGGACTAGAACGGGGCAGGAACAGCTGGGACAGAAGTAGGATGGTCCACGCATTTCAGTAGAGGGGAATCTGAAGCTCCCCCCAACCTCTGAGTCAGCCAGGGACAGTAGCAGCAGGGGGCAGGGAGTGGGGTATAGGAAGGAGGGGAAGTCCCACTGAGGACAGAGGTAAGGGGATGGATTCTTACCTGCTTTGGGCACTTGGAAAAAACTCCCTGGCTTCTGGTCTCATGGCACAGTCTGCCTGCTCCAGTGGGATTGGGATGAAATGAAGGCTGGGAGCAGGGGGCTGCAACCACCCCTGCTGGTTACTGCTCCCATACCCCTTTTTTAAATTCTGGATCTGCCTACAGCCCCCAGCACTGCCTGGAAAATCCTCAGTGGAGCTTGCCGCAACCCTTCCTCCCACCAGTCCAAATCACAACTGAATGATTCCTCTATCACTGCAGCTTGTGAAAGGGGTTTTGCTTCACTGTGGTGCTTAAGCCAGGGAAATTCCCCCAGGAAATTTTTTCTTTCAATACTGCTATATTCCATTTACCAAATGAAAAGGACCAAGACTGGGGGGAGGGAGGGTGTGAAAATCTGACCTAAACTACACTGATTATGGAAGATCTCATAATTTAGGTTGATTCCACCTCTGGCTTTTTGCATGTCTGTACCTAGGCTTACTGACTCTTTTATAAGGGTCATTTCTAACCTTCTCCACTGAGACCCACCCTTTGTAATCTCTCTCCCCCATCTAATTGCATTCATCCTATTTAGTGTTGTGAAAAGAGCAGGATGATTGTATCTCCCTGCAACATGTTTGAAACCCTTGGTGGTGGCAATGTTCATGTTTGTACCCACCATACAATTCCAGCCAGTTCCTGAGCACATGGAAAGGCCAAAAACAACACAGCCAAGTACAGAAAGAAAATAAGATGGGTATTTAAACTTGTAGGGTGAATTTATAAATGCAGGAAAAAGTGAACATGATCAGAATATCTGGGCTAATACTTCTCCCCTGCCCCCTCCCCAACCCCTCATGTCATAATCTCTTCAGGAACTTGGTTTTAAAGCTCACCTACAAGAAGCGGCTGTCATGTAAGTTTTAAGGTAACAAGCTTTAAAGTCTGAGTACTGTACCTTTGATCTCAAAGAGCTGGTGAAATTGCAGGTGATACAAACTGAGACTCAAAGTCACACTTTTCATTTCAGATGTCTGTAAAGGCCCAAATCGGGTGTCTTAAGTGATTTTGAGAATACTTAAAATCTTGAAATAAGTTTATTAAATGCTAATAAATGAGTTGGCATCTGGATGAGAGCAAGATAAGTGTCATTACCAAATGGAGTTAGCACCTAAAAATATCTTGAATAACATTTTTAAAGGGCAATGAACTGAAGAGATCTGGTAAAGATACGTACTACGTTTTTATCTTTAACAGTACAAATGTGCAAATATTGAAGTTACTTTCACATTTTTTTCAGCTACCTTTCTTTGGTCCATAATCAGATGAATATAAAAAGTTGATATTTTTAGATAAGATACCTCAATTAAAGATGTAGACATTCAAGAGGTGGGTACATAGTCAGTTACCTACATTCTAGAAGTTTAAAAATTGATTAGAGAATTTCACATACATTAAACTTCATTGTTCATTAACATGTTTGTTGTTATTATAAAAATAACTCCTTTTAATTATTTTATAACAATGCACTGAATGAAACATTTGGTTTATACAGAGACATTGAACAAATGATTTGGGAGCTAATCATGTGATCATTTATACAGATAGATATGGTGGGTGCAACTGTGAATCTGAGCTCTCAGCTGCTACCATTGGGTACATCCAGATGAGCCCACACGTGCCTCTTCCAGCACCTCAAACCCTTCTGAGACTGCAAGAGGCACATGTGGGAACAAAAAAAAATGTTCCCCGCACTGCAAATTTGCAGCAGGGGAGCAAAATTAGACCCCTGGAAGGTCAAACAATACCCCGGGGGGGAAAAAACGGGTCAGGCAACCGGAGGCTCAGTCCTCCACAGAGACGCTCTGGTAGCCTGCCAGAGCATCTCTGTGGTTGGCCCTTTCCCTAGTCCTGAAGCATGCTGCCTGCCCACGTGGGGCAGGTGGCGGTGCAAGCTGCAGGGACCTGGGCCCAGCTTCTGCCAGGTAAGTAGTGGGGGGTTGAGGTGTTAGTGGAAGGGACCTTTGAAATGCCTCTGAAGCTCTACAAAAAGCAAGGGTACAGATGTTCACGCCCTAGCAATGACTTAAAAAATGGCCAAACTGCTTCAGAAATGACCCTTGGAAAAAATGGGAACATTATGGAGCACTTCATTAAGTGCTTCCTAAAACATCTGCACCTTTCAGCAGAATGAACACAGAGTTACAGGCAGCTTCCCACAGTACTCCACTCCCCACTTCTCCCTCCCCCATGGGGGAGGGGTAATGCAGGGCAGACAGGAAATGAGCACTGCCCTGTGCACTTATTGTCCTTGAGAATCTCCAGAGACTGGAAGCTCAGAAATATGCCAGGATTCCTGCTCACTAGCCCCATGCCTGGAAATTACCTCTATTACATGTTTTCACAGCCATTTGGGAGGATAGTGGGGAGGGCTCCATATCTGTCTGGTGGTGATTCCAAATTGGAGTGGAATTGGGTGTTCTTCAAATGAGTATCATATCCAGATATTTAGTAAAGAAACACCAGTCCTATTAAAAAAAGATGGATCATAAAAAAGCAAAGAATGAGCCCCATACTGTTTCCACTGGTTTTAAATAGAGTTATGGACGCATGTTTTACTTCTGTTACAGAAAATGGGAGATTTCTATTGCCTTCTGTTGAAGCAGACCAAAGTCCTTGACCTTGTCTAAATTAGGATTTTTCAGATCCAATATTCCTATTATTCTGCAATGTGCTATTTGAAGCTATACCAATTTGGATTTGGAAGTCAAAAATGCATAAGAGTAGCATTTTCAAAGGAGATTTGTTGGTCAGCTTCTGAAGTCTAATGGTTTGACTCCTAGGTTCCTTTGAAAATACAACCTTAGTCTTAATATAGACTCTCTCCAAAATGGTACAACTCTATCCATGCTGGCACCAGTGAAACACCTCTGCCTACCTTCCAATTTGTCAGGTAACTCTGACAGGGAAAAGGCTTGAGTCCATTTAACCCTTGTATATATAGTACCACTATGACTGCTAGTAGAACTGCAAATTTTGGTAACCAGGGACCATCCTTCCTACATCAAGAATGTCAGAGTATGCATGTGGGCACATGTGCATGTGCGTGCATCAGAGAGAGAGAGAGACAGAGAGAGAAACAACTTTGACCCTAAAGGTTCATTGCTGCTTACAAAGGACACTGGCCTATTTCAATAGCTGATAGCTAACAGAAAACTTTTTCTTCAAATGGTACTTCAATGTCTGGTGTATCTCTAGAACTAAAAAACTAGGCTTTTAGTATTGCTCTGTATCTATTGT